TTTTTTTTTTCTTTTCAATTCTTCCAAAATTGATTAAAGAAAAGAAAAAGACAACTCAACATATTACCAGTTGTACCTTTCTTTCATTTAAATGTCTAGATAACAACGGATGCGCTAATTACCAATATACCTGAAAAGTACCCACAGCTAAGAAAATTCACACACACACACACACACACACACACACACACACACACACACACAACGGCAGAGCAAGTACACTCTACTAGAAGACAAACAAAACTCCAAAGTAGGTCCAGCAGATGTGGTTTCTATACTGCCCTCATTCATTTCATCTCAACAAATCCGAGGAACCAACCAAAACTTCCCCTTCATTTGCTTTACATTTTTGTTTTGTCAAAAACTTGGCACTGAATAAAAATCCCAAGATGCCTTAAGCTCCCTACCTAAAACCTAGGCACTACACAAAACTGTAATCAGCCAACAAGGTCTACCAAAAATCTTGAAATCTCTCTCTCTCTCTCTCTCTCTCTCTCTCTCTCTCTCTCTCTCTCTCTCTCTCTCTCTCTGTTGCAAGATCCATTACTTTTCAAAATCCCATAACTTGTGATGTCAGATTCAGCAAAGGCTCTAAAGCACTCGGATCGAACTTCCTCGCGAAAAGATAGCAAATATCCGTCTCCCCATGATTATACGTGCACGACGTGCCGTTTTTCCTGAGCGACTCCAAGAACGATTCTGTAATATTACTTGCCGTGAAGGTTGCCGGGTGAGGGCCCAGCTGCGACCAGTCAACATAAGTCACAGTCCGGTTGGCGTTCGATTCACCGTGAAATTTCTTTATGTAAGTCGGAATGTAATGCTCGTCCGGATAGCAGGAGGGCTTGCAGTACTTCTTGAAGAGTGTGTAGTACCTTGTGTCGGCAACTATCTTGACAGCCAAGTCACGGTGCATTTCAAACCACTGGGATCCTTTGCGCCAGTCGGACAGGTGGATTTTGGGGTTCATGCGCCGGCTGTAGCGGCCCCGCCCGTAACGGGTCGGGTCGTCGTAAGACTCCACGAAGCTGTGGATGGAGGCGGTGAGGTATTTGTAGATGGTTGGGAAGTCGTAGATGGGGATGCAGCTTTCCGAGAGGAGGACAAAACGGTCATTTGAGAAGTCGAGAAGGGCGTTTGCTAGAAGGCGTTTTTCTGCATCGACCAATGAGACTGATCCCCACTCGACATGCTGCAGAGTCGAAATAAAAGGGAAAGCATAATATAGGTAGGGGCATAATTTAAATAAATAACAAAAAAAATTCAATTTTCTTTCTAAATTACAAATTTTTGCAAGATATGCAGGCTTTTTTGTAAATATTAAATAGGCTAAAATCTCAGGGGTGACTTTTGCAATTTACCATTTGCATTTAAGTAACACTATCTACCAAAAGCAGTTGGAGTTTCAAAGTAAGTCATTCTCTAAGTTACTGAGAAGATAATTTTGAAATCTGAAACCTACCTACATTTCACTTTCTAAGGTTGCATTCTTGGAAGGGGAAAACAACTCTAGTTTTACATTAGAATTTTCTGCATAAGTGAAACCTGATGCCCACATTTCCGCTCAAACAGTCGAACTTCCATGTTCGTAACCCAAAAACTTTTTAATTTCTACAAATTAGCCACGTGAAGCTTCCCGGAACCTCATACAAATATTTATCAGAGCATCTGTAAAAGGAATCTATAGCATAAGGCACACTTCTCAAGATCAAAATAAGCTAAAACTGAGGGAGCAGGCCATGTAAACAAAAAAAGTGAAGAAAATCAGCAGCCATACTTTGACAAAGAAACTTGCTCCCTCAAGTATTTGAATTAGTTCTTGATATACATTTTAAGGGATAGAGAAGTAAATAAGAGAATAATTGCTACCCCTAGTGTCAAAGATTCATTGAATATAAAAATTCCAATTGAAACTACTTAAAAATGAATTATAAGTTACAGGCCTTCGAGATGTAGCATATCAACTTTCGAAACCTAGTGATCTTAAGATACACCGTTCGATTGTCACCATTATTCTGCTCCCGTCAGGACCTTCTGGTAGAACAAAAAATTTTAGAAGTGGTCTAGCAATATTTCACCTATTCATAAACAGGAAGAAATGACTAACATGTACACTTCCAGCCATTTTTTTTACATGGTTAATGCTCTTCATAGGACACAGGATGTGTCCTACTCTCCTTCCATCCCAGTCGAGACCAAAAACCATATTATGTTTTTTTTGCTTCACCTAAAATTTCTAATATTCTCAACTTCTTGAGAATATTCTACATCATATGAAACAAAAGACAATACTTTTATATCGATCTATATAGTCAGTAAACATAGCTGACAACTGTTATAAAACTAGGCAATCTTATAATTAAGAAAGATCAGCCATCAATTCGAACAGTTCTTATGTTGTTATGGAGCCAACAGTTGGCTCTATTGTGAAGCCAACCTTCTACACTGCAAGTAGAAAATGCTATATTCTCTAACTACTTAAAAAAATAAAATTAACATTTTTAAATGGTTCTTACTTGCCGTGTATAGAAGGTTGGCTCCACTATGGAACCAAATGTTGGCTTAACGACAAAATCGTCAACTCGAATCCCAAAAATTATCGATTTTATCATACAAATTGGTTATTAGAACAAAAGGGAATTAGGATCTGCTTCCACACATGTACTTCATTACCCCATAATATGTTACAAAATTACGCTTATCAGACTCCACAACTACCAAATTCCACAGCAAAAATAAAAAAGAAAAGAAATAAAAAAAGAACTCCCTCCACGATCATCATACAAAACATCACATACCATAATTCATCAGCAAACATTATACGGCATTCAGAAAAAAAGAAAATCATCAAGTCAACAAAATTTATACCTTGCTCGGGATCTGTCGCCTGTAGAAAACAGACGTATTGTCAACTTTGAGTTCAAACCCGGGAAGAGCATGTACATATATCGAGTACTTCTCCACATCATGTCCACTGAAGAACCTATCCCACAACGGCAACATGGGCAGCGGCCCTCGTGTGAGGAACATGAATGCCACTTTAGGGACCCGTTCGAAGGGAAACTCTTTCTTTTGGGGTACGAGCGAGGCTCGCCAAAACAACTCATCATCCGTCAACTGGTGTTCCAGACTTCTCGGCCTCACGAACCGATCCATGCTCAGGCAAGCATCTCTCTCGTAATTCACCACTATCTTCCGGCCATCATGGCTAAACTGCTCGGTGTCAAAATACGTGTTCTTGTAGTCGAACTTGTCCTCTTGAAATGTGAAGTACCTGTTGATGTTGGAGCTAGAGACCAATCCTATAACTACACCCACCACGAAAATTATCAAAATCGAGATGAGTTTCAACAGGCCAATTGATGAGTCAGCCATTGATGTTGGCAATGGGGAATTTATGCGGCATTCAACATTTTCTTTCTCCTTATTCCTCCCCATTTCTTCTCAGACTGTTTCTTCTTTAGCTCTTTTCACTTTTCCAGCTAAATTCCCAAACTCTATTACCCAAGAAGCAAAGATTTCTATCTTTTTCTACTATTCTGGCTTATTTGGGACCAATTCAAGAACCAACGATCGCTGATCAACCAAAATCTCACCAAGCAAACAAAAGAACCATAAATAAATAAATAAATCAACCCAACTCGCGCGATCGATACGAAAATCAGAAAGTCGAAGAATTTCGAAAAATCGGGTTTGTACTATGGTCGGAAAATGAAGAAATCAATCAATAACGGGTTTGCACGATTCGGGGTTTCGATTACAGCATTAGCGTACCTAGACTTGCAACAGAAGGAGGGAGGACCAGAACACTTACCCACGAAAAGGGCAACAAACAGAACAACATGAAACAAAGGAAAGATGCAAGAAAATCACATAAAAATGGAGGCGGAGAACAGAGAAGCAAGAGCTAAAAAGGGGGTTCCCTTGTTCTTTTTTCTGTTCGTCGACGGTGAAAATAAATGCACAGCAACAGTCGGGGTCCAAGATCTTCACATTATGCAATTCAAACTTAAAAAATAAATAAAGAAAGTGACTGGTGAGATTCGCGGCGACAATTATGAGATTTTGAGGAATGGTGGTGATAGTGTGCGATAATGGGAAGCATAATCTCGCACGA